GGCACACCTGGGGCCCCGTGACGGCGGTCAGGGCGCAGCCCACAACACTCATGATGCGATGAAGGATGTGCGATGAGGGGCAGTGCGAGAGGCGAGGTGCGAGTGCGATGGGACGCTGAAAATGATGGCAGAACGATGCGCGAGAGCGCCAAACATGACCAGATGCGCGTGTGCCAGCAAGTACCGATCGACCGATGTCGATCTGCAGATTTGCAGATCGACATCGATGTCGATCTGCAGATTTGCAGATCGACATTTGCATTGTGTTGGTTTTAGTATTGATGCAAATGTCGATCTGCAAATCTGCAGATCGACATCGATGTCGATCTGCAGATTTGCAGATCGACATCTGGATTTGATCGCCCTGCGATCCTCGAGGATCGTGGTTCGGTTCATGCCAGCGGCCATGCCCCCGCCCCTCCAGGGTGGTTTCGCGAGTCCAATCGGACCGATGCTCGAGGTGTTCTGGCCGTCGGGTGGGCCTCGTCACCACAGCTGGGAACGGCTCGGGAACTCTTGTGTGGCTGGACTCCTGGACGGGTCTGAGGGGCTGTTCTGGGAGATGGGGGTGGCGACGACGGCGATGGCGGCGACGACGACGACGCAGACGACGCCACCGACGACGGCGACGACGACGGCGGCGGCGACGGCGAGTGGGGGGGGGCGTTGCCGACGAGCGACGACGACGCCGCCGCCGCCGACGACGACGCGATGTTGAGCAGACGACGGCGCGCGACCTCACGCGATGGCATCCGCAAACAGTCGACGCGGCACGCCGCGTGCAAACGAGTGCGCCCCCGCGCGACCTTACGCGGGCAGCTTACGCGCGACCGCCAATGACGACGACGATGACTCGGGCCCTTCCCTCCTAAGGGTGAAAGACCGCGTGGATTTTTTGGACCGACCTCTTGCTGCCGCGGTTCGACAAACGCCCATTCGTATGCTGATTATTTTCATGTTCTAAGTGCGATTGTCAACTCGTTCTGCGCGCGGGTGCATGGCACTTGCAACGAGAATGAAATATTTATGGCGCGTTCGAGCGAGAGTCGTTGGGCTCGGAACGCATTTGGACTTTGCAATATCGTTTGCGCTACGGCACGCCAGATCTTCTTCTTATTCGTCCTCATCTTCATCCGCCCCTCCATCATCATCATCATTATTCCTTCTCATTAATGCTCGTATTACTCATCACCCCCTTTATTATTATTCCCTTATCATTACTTCCCTTAAACTCTTATTATCCTTCCCCTTCTCCTGCCCCTGCAACCCTCCTCCGCAACCGCACTGGCCCAATATTTGTCATTGTGCTCCTCCGTCTGTCGGGCACTCATATGACGTGTTGTGAGGAGGTGCTTCGGTTTTGCCAGCCTTCGCGGGTGCTGTCTGGTTCGGAATACCACGCCGCTCATAAGTGCAGGGTTGTAACAGAGGATTTCCTCAAGCGAGAGTACCACAGGTTCCTCGGGAGACACGCTGATGATGAGATCTGCTTGTGGTGGAGCGCGGACACCACGCCTATCCAACATCGGAAAAGATTCGTTCTGAAATGGGAAGACTTCTCGATACGCCGGCAGGGCAAAGAAACCGGGGAGTACATGATCCAGAGGCTTTTTGCCCAGAGCAGGGGGCAGAGAGAGACGGTGTTGCTGTTGGAAGCACCCAGGACCACTGAGACAAAAACTGCTTGGACCCACGTGCAAGGCTGTCGGGGGATGGTGCCTTTCCCGCGCAGCCGCGGCCATAAGGGCCTCGAGATTTTTTTCGTTGTGTCCGACCGCGCCGTCTTCACCGCCATATATAAGGACATTTGTTCGGTGTTGGCAATTGAGGATGTTAAGCTTGAGTCCAGCGTGGGCGAGGTCGAGGCAGAGGCTCTCAGGAAAACTCGCTTCGTCTTGGGACGTGGATGCTGCAACCACGACAATCACGGCGGCTTCAAGAAGTCTCTCAACGATTTCGTGCAAGATAAGGACCCCCCAAGCAATGACCCAAACAAGCAATGTCATGTAGCTTTCTGTTGAGCCCAAACGAACATAGTATGTATATATTTTCGTGATGTGTTCAGCATACGTGGTCTCATAGCTAAGTTGGCGCACTCTTGCACGCGAGAACATGCAGCCGCGCAAACACAGTCATGAACACAACAATAATTCTTGACGCTTCGCGCATCCCCACCAGCCCATCCAGGAACGACGCCCAGGCGAGTTGAGGTGATCAGGGAAATGCGGGAGCAAAGCAGGGGATCGCCGAACTGTGCGAGGGAGGGAGGAGGAGAAGGAGGCCGGATGGATGGATGAGGGATTGGGTAGAAGGATGATGCATAGGATGAGGAGGAAGAGAAGGAGGAATAGGAGGAGAAATCTGAGCCGTCTTGGGCCCTCTGGAGCCGTCTTGGGGCCCTCTGGAGCCGCCTGGAGCTTTTTTGGGGCCCTCTGGAGCCGCCGCGGGGCCCTCCTGGGCCCCTCCGAAAGCCCCAAGACGGCTGCAAGAGCCCCCCCAGGAGGGCCCGACAACCTGTCACGAACAAGGCCCTTTTTCGTGACAAGTTGTCGGGCCCTCTTGGGGGGCTCTCGGGGCCTTCTGGGGGCCCTCTTGGAGCCCCAAGAGTGCTCCAAGAGGACCCCCAGGGGGCTCCAAGAGGGCCCCAAGAGGGCCCCAGGAGGGGACAAAAAACACCAGAAATTTAACAGAAACCGTTTCTGTGTTGGGAAGAAGTTTCTGTTAATGTTTTGTTGTTTTGTTTGCCCTCTTGGAGCCCTTTGGGGGCTCTCTTCGGGCCCTCTTGGGGCTCCAAAAGGGCCCCCGAATGAGTCCAAGAGGGCCCAAGTGGGTTCCAGGGGGGCTCCAAGAGCCCCCCAAGAGGGCCCAACAACCTGTCACGAACAAGACCCTTTTTCGTGACAGGTTGTTGGCCCTCCTGGGGGGCTCTTGGAGCCCTGGGGGGGCCCCGAGAGCTCCAGGAGGGCTCCAAGAAGTCCCCGAGGGCGGTGAAAGGGGGACTCGGGCAATGGAGGGCCCACATTCATGCTGTTAGTTCTCCTTCCTCTATGGAGCAAATGCGTTGCACATTCGCGCACATTACGTTTCTTGTGTCGGGGGGGAGAAAGGGAGGGGAACGATGAGGGAACGGCGGGGGCACGCTTTCATGCAGCAATCTTGCTATTTGTTTTGAGCCAGGAAACCCTCGCAATTGTTCAAGCATTGCCAGCTGAGGGCCACGGATGGTTTAAGGAATACACGGGGGAGTGACGGGGGTTCGCATCCATACGCCGACCCCCATATGGTGTTTTGGAGCAGGAGATGCTCACATTTGTTCGGAAGCAACCTGCTCTGGTCCGGGGGGGGCTTGGGGGGAGAGGGGGGCTACGAGGGGGGATGGGTCACGGAACTCGGCAATCACACAGCAGCTTTCATTTATGTTTTGAAGCACGAAGCGCTCGCAACATGTTAAGTAGCAGTTGTCTGGGCACTGGGGGAGGGGCAAATGGGGGGAGCAGTCAACACGAGGAATCTGCGGCGGAAGAAAAGGAGGAGTGACGGGCGCGCGCGTTCACACGCCTACCTCCAATTGCGCTTTGGAGCAGGACGCGCTGGCATTATGTATGTACCGTTTCTGTTGTCCCGGGGGGGGGGGGCATGGGAGGCTGGGTGTGGAGTTGGAAGGAGGTTGGATGGGCGGATGAAGGTATTCACAAACCGATTTTGATGCGTCCTGCGAAATACGATACGCTCGGAACTGTTCAACTAGGCTTTTTCTGGGCGTCAGGGGGGGGCAGCGGAAGATCAGGGACAACATAGTATCTGCGATTCGTTTTTGTCCCGCTGGCTGTTGTTGAGCCTGCGCTGCTGCATTGTGATCGTTTGAGCCATCTTGGGGCCATATTGTGCTCGAGCTCACGGCGCCATCTCCCATAAACTATGGATATCGTTGGGGAATATGCGGGGGCAGCTTTCTTGTATCATGTTTGGTTTTGACTGTATTCCTGACTTTTGATGCCTTCGGCAATATTGGAGGCCACCTTGTGCTCGAGCACACGGCGCCATGTCCAGCAGAGCTATTGCTTCCATGCAGAATTTCGGGGGTGCAGTTTTTTGTTCAGTCGTGGGTTTGCCTGCATCCCGGAATTACAGTATGTTTAGCAATATTGTAGGCCACCTTGTGCTCAAGCACAGCGGCGCCCTGATGGGCAGAGTTATTGATCCCATAAGGAAACGTGCGGGTAGCGTTTTAAAGTTTTTGTAATGGCTTCCCGCATTCATAATTTGTGATTGTATTGAGCCATATTGGAAGCCATCTTGTGCCATCGTTGGGCCCCCAGGAGGCTCACCAGAGGGCCCCCTGACGATGCAACAACAACTGGAAACTCTTCTGCTGCTGCAGCTGCTCCCCTCGCTCCTGCTCCCAGAATGCAGTACTCATGTTCCAGTTGATGCGCTGTGCTAGTAGCGCGGGCCTGGTATCCATGGAGCTCAGACCGCACGCGTTTCTTTTCTTGTGCACTGCAGCTGGGGGGCCAGAAAGGCTCCTAGAGGGGCTCCAAGAGGGTTCGAAGAGGTGTCCCAGGGAACCCATGGTCCGACGTGTGGCGGAATTGGAACCGCTACCTCAGAATCCCCCTGTGGGGCCCTCTTGGGGGCTTCTGGGGGAACTCCCTGGCGGACCTGGAAGGGTGCAGAGGAAGCGAGCTGGGGGTCCAGGATAGCAACATGCATGTAGATGTTCGGCGGCATGCGTCCGTGATGATACCACCCTGATCGAAATCGCGTCCTGGACACCGTGAAAGATGTTTAAATTCAACCCAATTCTCCGTCTGCTTTGAAGGCCAGGTTGTTTTCTGGGGCTCGTTTGGGCGCCAATTCAATCTCACGCTTCTGGGTCATCCTTTTGGGGCGAGGAGACTATGCGAAATGCTTTCATTCGTATTGCATCATTGCGGAATGCTTATACGACACTGCGGAAACATCTTCCTTCCTGGTTGGACAAAGTGGTCAGGTACGAGGCTTGGGACGAGCCGTGGCGTCTCGAGCTCTGGCAGGTGCTGTTGAGGGACACCCAGTGGATCGAGCTCATCATGAAATTGCAGATACGGTTCCATGACGGGTATGTGAAAGTGTCACCGGAATTCCAGAAGGATCCTGACATCATGGACCAGATCCAACTTGTGTACTTGTACGTGTGGGCTTTTCGTGAGTTCAGCGACAGCCGTTGGATCACCCTTGGTTCGAGTCAGAGGACAATGTTGGCCGCAGAGTTGTTGGGGCTTTCGGCATACGTCGACTACTTATTGAACGATGTCAAGGTTAGTGGGTATTATCTCAAAGGGTTTCTTCGGAAAACGGACAAGGTGCTTCACATGACCGCCTTGGCGGCCACGTGTTCGTTCGCTAGTGACGAAACATTGGCAATGACACTGGAGGACGATAGGTTGATCATCCGCCTGCCTGAAATCGACCAGGCTGCCATTAGTCAGCTCGAGTACGTATTCAGCATCAGCCAGCCTGTGTGGAACTACATGGGCAATGCACGCAAGAAGAGCGGTGGCGAGCTACGGAGCGAAAGCCTGCACGCATCTTTGGTGAGCTCTTGTTATTTCAACTGGAGGGTGAACGACTTGAGAAAACCGCCGTTCAGTTATTGCCGCGGAGATCTGGATGAGAATCTTGATGCAATTGCGAGGGGGCCAGTTCCTGATGACCCTTTCACTTTGCAGATGTACAATTTGCTCTCGCTGGACGGGTTCCCGAGGGAACAGCTCAAAACATTGCTTGAACTGCTTGGGAATTGTCCTCAGTCAAACATTACTGGTGAGCAAGGGCACGTAGGGGCTAGCATCGGCAAGAAACGGCACCCCACAACCGAACACAAGATGCTACAGACACGTGCGCAATTGATCCAATTCAGACCTCTTTTGAACATGACTAAGGAAGAGAAGCTCAAAGACAGACTGCTGCGGCGAATCGACCGCATCGATCATTATAGCGCGGCGTCCTTTGGCGGGCGACAGGCGTACGTGCAAGATCTGTCGAGGGTGTCAGCGACGATGAAGCACATGGGTTGCGGGGTGGCGCCGGACGCCCAGCAAAGAATCGTTCAAAAGCATGGCGAGAAATGGAGTGAGATGTCAAAGAACCGCCGTGAGAATTGCGAGCGGCAGTCCTTCAAGCGGCAGCAGGAAAAGGTAGATGCTATCAACGAGGAGCGCGACAAGCTGTTGATCGATTTGAATAAGGTCAGAGAGAAAACCAGACAGAAACTGGATGCCCGCGCTCCTTTCCGAGTTGGCTCTTGTCGTTTATCGGATGCGCAGAAAGAGAGTCTGGACGCTTTGTATGCAGACGCGAGGTACACGCACGAATACGTATCCAGTCGCATCAGCGACGCTGAGAAGGACCTGGGGGAGCCGACGCAGCGCGAGTTATCCGTGTTCCGCATGGTCGAAGAGGAGCCCAAGGCGCGGCCACCGCACCCCCCATGGGTGGCCACGGTCTGCCGCAACAAAGATTTCTTCAAGCACTGCTCCCTGCGCTGGCCCGGGGAGCACGAAGCTCGCGTGGAGAAGTTTATCTTTTCCATGGAGAACCCTTTCATCGTTGGTCTCCTCCGGCTGCAGGAGATTGACGTGGACCACGCCGCCAAATTCTTCGATGCTTTCCCAGACCAGGGCGCTGCGATGTGGAGGGAGAGTTACAGGCTCGACTTCGGCATGTGGTCTTACACAGACGACCTGGGCGCAGTTCCTTTGGACCCGCCAGAGATTCTGCAGGACTGCGTGTACCAGAGGCACGGGTTCATCACCTCGGATTCCGAATGGGTCACCATGGACTCGGTGATTGGTTTGTTGGACCAGGCAGGCGGGCCCCCCTTGCGCGAGGGCGCGGAAGGGAGTTCTCAACCGACCGAGCCGCCGCCTTGGGTGGACCTCCCGTGGCTCCTTGATGTGCTCCCCACCGGCGACCCCGACGCCGACCCCGCGGCAAAGGGCACCAAGAAGAGGAAACGAGCTTCCACTGGAGACGAGGGGGAGGAGGTGGACATCATGGACCTCGATATTTCGGCCGACGAGGTGTATGACATTCTCCGTGCGCACCGGGATGCCTTTGCGCCTGCAGGGCCGGTTCCCAGGGAAACGCTAAACAACATGTATGTGAATTGTCGGCGGGGTTTTGGTCGAGGCCCGAGGCGGCTTCATCCTCCCAGGGCGAGGGTTCCCCATCCCGACGTCGCGTCGCGCAGGTGCGAGCGCGTTGAGACATGTGGGGCTCATGTGGACCTCCGTCCGCGACGGTGGGGGTCATCCTCCCCTGCCCCTTCTGCGTCGCGTCCTGCGGCGTGCCCGTCTCCTCTCAGGCCTGCTCCGTCGTCCTCCTCAAACCTCATGGGGTGTTCGTCGTCGAGGGCCCCCCCGTCCTGCCCGGGCCTGCGTTCGTTGTCCCAGAGGCGCCTCCGCGCAGAGATTTCGTGGTCATCCTGCGGGGGGGCTTGGACACGAAGAAACGCAAGGGGGTCGAGTACGACGTGTGGAGGGCAAAGACTGGAAATGACAAGGGTAGGAAGTTCGCGGGGGACTTTGGCATCGGCCAGACCTGCGACTTCACCATCAGTAGGTATGGCGACGAGGAGACCCACGCTCTGGCGGAGGCGTGGGTGCACAGAGTGGCGTACTTCCACGACGAATGGGTTGCTGCGGGCAGCCCGCGGCTTCATACGTGGGGCGCTGTTGTGGCGGCTTACGTGGAGCCGGAGCAGGTGCGCGATATGGATGCGCCCGGCGCTCCGCCTGCCATACTCGAGGGGCTGAGGCGGTTGCGTCGCGTCGTTCCTAGGAATTAGACCGATGCTCCAGTCGGTCGTCCCGGGCAGAAGCCGCCACAGCATCCGTGAAAGCACGGCCCACCGCAGCTGTGGAAAACACGGCGGAGAACCGCCGACGATTTTTTTACAATGGGATCCAAGACATAAAAAAATCCACGGAGGTTTCTCACGCAGTTTGTCGCCCCATCCATGTGCGAAATCGTCGCTGTCTTCTTCGCTGCCCTGTGGGCCCCCCCCAGGGGGCCCGACAATTTTCGGGATAGGAGAGGGGGACGAGAAATTGTCGAGAGAAATTGTCGCACCTATGGGCGTGCCCGAGCCTCGAAGTACCGCAGGGCGTCCGGGCAACCATCGTGCGGCGGCCCCCCTGGGAGGGGGGAGGCTTCGAAGGGTGTGCGGAGGAGGGGGGAGGGAAAAAGGAGGGAGAACGGGATAATACGGTCGAGTGAGGGCGAGGCGGAGGGAGGATCGAGGCCCCGGGCTCCAGGGGTGGATGTGAGGAGGAAGGGGTAGGAGGTGTTTGGAGAAAGGGAAGAGAAGGCAGGACGCGGGATAAGCGATAAGGAAAGGCACGGAGGAGGGAGAGGGAGAGACGTCGAGGGATACGGGAGGGAGGCGGGGGAGGATTATGGGATGCAGGTTGGTTTAGTCATTGCAGAACTCTGGCAAGCCTGTGGGAAGCTTCGAAAGAATCGGCGCTTCGCGCACTCCCCCAGAACATCCAGAAACGATGCTCTTCAGCCCATTTTGCCTGCCCATGGGTTTTCCGACGCCCGCTTGGGGCCCTCCTCAGGCCCTCCTAGGGCCCTTGGCGACAGGAGAGCTCGCGCTGTCAAAGCATCGGTTTTGACAGCGCGAGCCTCCGCCCTCTTGGGGCCCTCTTGGAGCCGTCTGGGAGCTCTCTTGGATCCGTCTTTGGGCCCTCGTGGGCCCCTCTTCAGGCTTTCGCGGCACTCTTGGAGCCCCCTGGGGCTACCTTGAGCCCCCCCTTGGGGCCCTCCTGAAAGGCTCCTGAAGGCCCTCCGAAAGCACACTGGAGGGCCCTGGAGGGCCCTCCAGTGTGCTTTCGGAGGGCCTTCAGAGGGCCCCATCAGGGCCCCCAACGGATGCTACAAAGCACCCCCCTGTTGTATCATCCATCGGGTGCCCTCTTGGGGCTCTCTTGGGGCCCTTTGCAGGCCCCCCCCCGCGCCTTCAGAGCGCCCGAGTAGGACTCCAAGAGGGCCCCAAAAGTGCCCCAAGAGGGCCCCAACGGATGCTACAAAGCACCCCCCTGTTGTAGCATCCGTCGGGTGCCCTCTTGGGGGCCCTCTTGGACCCCTCCGAGGGCTCTCCCAGCGCCTCCAGAAGCCCCCAAGAGGGCCCCGACAGAGTAGCAAGATGCCCTCCAACGGATGCTACAACGCACCCCCCTGTTGTAGCATCCGTCGGGGGGGCCTCTTAGGGCCGTCGTGGGGGTCATCTTGGGGTCCCCTTGGTGCTCTCCCAGGGCCTCTCGGGCCCTCTTGGAGCCCTCTTGGGAACTCTTGAGGCCCTCTAGGGGCCCTCTCGGGTCATACCTTGAGTGTCAAACAGAATTGTCTAACAAACTGTTGTCTTCGGGAGCGGTGGAACGGCAGCCAGCGCTCCGCTGGTGCTCACAAGGAGCAGCATCCTTACCTTGGACATGCATCGTGTAGGTGTGAACTCTGGCGCAGTAGAGGTTGTAGGTGAGGAGCAAAACGCCTTTCAAGTGCATCCTCGGTTTGCTCCGATTCATTGTTTTTTCCGTTTCCGGGGCAGGGGAAAAGTAACGAATTTCCCCCCCCGACAGCAGCGGAAAAGTAACGAATTTCCCCCCCTAGATTTGTGCGGCCCGGCTGAAGGGCCGAGGGACTGTGCATGCAAATTGTCGGTAGGTCAAGTCATGGAGCCATCGTGGCAAAGCAGGTTGTAAATGAAATATAGTAACCCTCGGCGCCACTATGAGAACTCCCAAGGGAACTCTCAAGAGAACTCTGAAGGGAACTCTCAATTACACAACTCGTGTCATGAATTGTGTGCTACCCCATTGCCCTACAGATCCTGATGGCTGGTGCGAGCTGTCCTCACTAGAACGATGTAAGTAGGGTGAGCGGGAGGCGGAGGGCCACGGATATCCTGCCTCATCCTTCCTGGTTCCCTCTTTTTCTGTTGCCCTCTCCCGCTCTGCATTCTTCGTCCGCCCCCTCCGGGCCTGTATTAGCTCAAGAGTGGCGCCGCTGGAAGTCGTCCTACTCTCTTGATTGGCGGACGCCTTCGGGGTCCCATTTCGCTTCGAGCCGATGCCCCCCAAGCGCCGCGCTGCATCGGCCAAGTCGGTGGGCTGGAGAGCAAAATGTGGGTGGTAGGCGGATGGGGTCACACGGGATCCGAGTAGTTTCCGCCTCCAGGTTCGTCCACGCTCCTTTTTGCAAACCAGTCGGCAGTGCGGCGCTGAGACGGCCGGGCATTGTCTGGAATTTCACCACATCCCTTGAGCGGAAGTTGCGCGATTTCTTGCGCGTTGTCTGCCCCCTGAAATCTTTGGCCAGTTTTCGTGCGTGTGACCCCAGGGGGAGTGGCCTTTCTTCGAAGGGGACGCGGCCTCCCCCCTCAGGCTGCCTCTCGGAAGGCTCCCAAAGTTGTGGTGGACGACGACGCCCCCACTGTGGGGAGGGAGGCGGCGGCGGAGGCGGTCGAGAAACCTCGCCGCGTCCTTCGTCAAACCAGCACGGAGGAGGATGTGAAAAAGGCCGAGCGGGACAATTTCCCAGGGTACGAGCACGACGATTTTCACCACAATATCGTTGATGGCAAGTCCCTCCACGAGGTGCTCACTCATGACATCCATGCGATCCGCCATGGCCTCGAGGATGCTCCAGTCAGGGGCAAGCATTATTACAACGACATGCGTGCCAAGTTCCCCCTACAGGGCGGGATGGTCGACCAGCAGTTGTCCCCAGCCAATAAGAGCGACCAGAAGGACGCAGACTTGGACATCGCCCTGGAAGGGGTGGTGGCCCACACGAAGTCGTATGATCTGTTCAGCGACTGGCTGGAAACATCAGGGCCTCCGAACCAGTTGGTTTTCTCAACCGTCTGCAAAGCCATGCTCAAACACGTTAAACCCAACAGCGTGGAGAGGCAGGATGTGTGCATGCTCTTCTTCCGGTGGGTAAAGAAGCACGAATCCGAAACGAAGTACTCCGCTGAATTCGGCGTCATGCGGTCCTATTGCATTTGTGTATGCAACAAAGTCTTGACCCGGTACAAAAACAATGGCCAGGCTTCCAACGGATGGTGGGATGACTGGAAGGACGTGGGGGCGCTCCTTGTGCCGGAGGCGGCGTGCCAGCGCTGCATGGACAACCATCTGAAAACGTGGGACCACTTGGAGAGAGACCTCTTGGACGTCACAGGTGCGAACGATTTCGGGTACAACCTATTCCACAAGCAGGCGACGAAACTCTACGCGGATCGACTGTCCATAGTAGCCGGCGACGTGGTGAAGAGCCACTTGCACGGCAAGGCGATCGGCCAGAGCTTGATCGACGCCGCCAAAGTCACGTTCGATCAGAAGATCAAGGAGATGGGCGCCAGCCCCGCAGCGACCTTCCCGGAGAAACCGTACAGGGCGGGGTACTGTGGCCTCCCGGTCCCGCTCCCGGCCATTTCGTACAACGACCAGTGGAGGCTTGAGGTCAATGGCCTGTGCAGGTCTGTCGGCGTCTTCACTGGCGTCGTGCCTGAGATCATGGGCGACGCAGGCGTCGAACAAAGCCGGCTGCTCAGGGTGGGGTGGGCGAGTCCAGAGTGGGCTTGGGGTCGCGTCGGCAGCGCCGGCGGGGGCAGGCGGGGGCGGCGGTAGGCGCTGGCGGCCCCCCTGACAGCCATTTTCGAAACATGCGTGTTCCCAGTAGTATGTGATTGTGGAGTTACCCACAGGTGAGAAGAGCCTGTTCAAGGACTACAAACCCCCAGCGGGCACGACCGTTGAGGCGGCAGTCCTTCAGCCGAACAAGAAGTTCAGGACGTCTTTGCTCCAGAAGCTTGAGACTAAAGACCAGAAGAATAGCGATGAACTCAAAAATGTGTTGAAGAAGGACCAGAAATGGTTCAGGAGCGTGGACAAATGGAGCAAGATCGAGGAGGAGGCAATTAAGTTGATGAGCGGAGCCCCCGCTGCGACGGTGGTGAAGGACATGCTTCTTCAGCGCATCGCCCAGGGCGAGGGCACCCAGTCGCCCCTCGACACGGCCGTGGCGAAGGTGAAAGAGATGGAGGACCATGCGATCATGGAGTTCGCAGGTGCAACTGCCAAGGATGCTTGGGCGGAGGCATTCGGCATCCTGGAGGCGATCAAGGCCAAGCGGGTCCCCAAGATCCCCGTGGGCAACTCGCAGTACGTGGCCGACCTCTCCGACGCCGTCAGCAGGTTCTGCACGGCGGAGGTCGATGACCCAGACAGCGGCGGCACGAAGATCACCATTCGCGGCGCGGCTGCCGCGGACTGCCTCTTCACCAGGGTGCAGGAGAAGATGGAGGCGAATACGAAGATCCCCTATGCGGAGATCACCCCCCTGACGGTGTTCGGCTGGCTCCTCCAGCCGGAGAAGCGAGCGACGGCCTGGAAGTGGGGCCAGGAAGTCATGGCCAAGGTCGGCATGCAAGGCCCGGGGGCCAAAGGGGCCGGCGGCCCGGGCAAGGGCGGCAAGGCGTCCCAGGGAGCGAAGAAAGAGCAGACCAAAAAGGATGTCAAGGCGGCCGTTGCAGCGCTGTGGTCGTGAATACCTTGTGCCGTCTACCACCATCTTGGGCCGATGGCGGGCCCGTCTGCGACTCCTCCTGACGGGGGGGGCGGTAATTTCGAGAGCACTCGGCTGTGTGCCGATATTTTTTTGACGCGTGGCGCTTGCTTTCGCGAGCCCTCGTGTGCGTTTGATCTTCTCTTGACCTGGCCCGGAGCGGCGGGCCTGGATTCGCGACGAGCCACGGGCGTATCAACCACCTCGCGAGGGCGGAAAACACATCGAGATGGACAGGCGGAGGCCGCGGGCTTACTTGAGGCTGGGCCGTTGGATTCACAATATTATTGCGCATGTGTCTCCGATATGTCCCCCCACTCGCCTTTTCAGCAAAGC